TGGGTCCAGGTCCTGGTTCTGTGCTGGACGTCAGGCGTGGTTCTGGACCTGGATCAGCCTCAGAAAAGGCTCAGGTTCAGATCGGTCTCTGATGAGTCTCAGATCTGGTTTGGATCAGTCTCAGATCTGGTTTGGATCTGGCTCAGATCTGGTTTGGATCTGGCCCGTATGAGGCTCGTTTGAGGACTTAGATGAGGTTTAAATCAGACTCAGATGAACCTACATCTACAATTTTAAACTGATGCAGTTCTGTGATCCTGAAGAGACAGGTGTCTGCCTGCAGCTGGATCTCATATCAGGTGTGAATCGGGTTCAGGTAAAACTTGGATCAAGATCTGGTCAAATAAAGTCCAAAATCAGGAGTGGTTGTGTCTCTGTTAGATGATCTGTGTTTTGTTGTATCTGCCTCGTCTTCTTGAAGAGCGGACCTGATCAACACGACAGGACACTGTTAGGTTTTAAGTTTTATGGTGATGTCATCACCACGACTGAGACTCATGGTGCATTTGATGACGTCCGGACAGTGTTGTAATAATATTGATGCTACATGAATAGCACTAGCTGCTGTTGTGCAGTGTGTGGGGCTCAGGCAGTAACCCTATTGGTTCTGGGGAGTCAGGTGGTCTGTGGGTTTTATTTTGAGGGTGACGTCCTGAAGGTCTGAAAAGGTTTGAGGAACACTTTAAATGGAGATCAGTACCCGCTTGAAATTGGATCTCAGCTCTTCTTGGACTCAGGTCTGGCTTGAATCAGGACCTGACTTGTTTCAGACAGTTTTTACTTTGAGTTCCAGTGTGAGTTTATTGTTGACGCGTAGCTTCAAAACTGTTTCTAGTTCGGTTCAGCTCAGTGTTTGATTTCAGTTTGTTCTGACAACAGCAGATATTTCTGCTATTGTTTCCTACCTGAAGTTTTAACTCAAAATACACACTTTCTTTAACCCTCACATACTGTTCATATGGGGGCCAAGAACTCCCTCATAATAAGTGTCTGTAGTGAATCTAGAACTACAGATCTATGTAGAAAGTATAAACAGCCTCTCTGACATTCATACATGGAGGATTAATCCTTCTTTAATGTGTCAGAGCAGGGAGAGAGTATTCTTTAGCTTTTCATCTACTGCACCGTCTGTCTGCTGCCAGAACCTCAGTCAGTGAAGTGGCAGCTCAGGTACCTTTATAATCTCCTGCCCCCCCCCCCCCCTTGTGGAGGCGCCCTCTGACCTCTGTGTGACCTCTGTTCCTTATGTGCACCATATATGATCACTCCTATGCTGTTTGACTCTGTCACTGTTTCCAGATCCCCCATGACCCTTCAGAGACCAGCAGGTGCCTGTCTCTGGGGGAACCTGGGCAGATGTGGCGGGAACACAGACAGTTGTGGTGACAGTGTCGAGGTCCCCCTTGAACTCTGTCACCACTGTCCCATAACAAATACACACAGACAGGGTATGTACAGTTTCACAGTTTCAAGATCCCCTAAAACCTCCATGTTCCTTCATCTGACGCACAGATCTAATATCTGTGGATCTACAATCCACTTCAATAGCTACGGCTCAGATTTGTAGCAGCTGTAACAAAAGTATAAAATATTAAAATATTTTCATTTTGGTGTATTTTGGGTCACTTTAGGAAAAGTCATCAAACTTCAGGCTAAAAGACATTTAGGGTTTTGTTACTGCTGTCAAATGTCGGAGGGGTCGCAGTTGACCTGAACAGTGTTTAAGGGTTAACAAACACACATTAATCCTGAACACACTCAGCTGCAAACAACAACCTGAACCTCTAGTTTAACCTGCTCATAACCAGATTAAAAGTAGTTGGTTTTAAAGTGGAGAATGCAGCTTTATGTTGATCAGTGTTAAAGTGGCTGTTTTCCTTTAATGAGGAGGTTTTTAAAAGGCTGGAAATGTCAGTTATTGAGGCCTGAATGTTGTTTTCTGAGTGTTACACCAACCTTTGTGCCTCTTCCAACCTTTCACTGACCTTTCGAGACACCGCCGACCCCCGAACATAATTCCTGGTGTAAACCAAAAGAGGCAGAGGAAAACAAACACGCAGCAGAAAGCAGTGTGTGCTGTGAGCTCCGGATGGAGTCGCCGCTCTGATAATCTGAGGCCTGTTTAACCTCTGGGAGGCAACCTGGGACTTAATGAAGCAGTCAGCAAGGTTATGTTTGTTTACAGCACCATCTATGTCTGTGTGTGTGTGTGTGTGTGTGTGTGTGTGTGTGAGAAAGACAGTGTTTACATCAGCGTCATATCAGCATAATTTACACACACACACACACACACATTCGCTTCCACCTTTCAACTCGCTTTCCAATTCTAATTAATCCGTTTTAATCCGTCTGAAACGGGCAGATTTGCTTCCCTTCACCTGCAGCTGCTTGTTGCTAAACCTGGACCTCAATCAGACGAGATGATAAAACTGTAAAAAGAAAAACACACGTTGTGATTATCTGCACATCTCAGCCTCTTCCACTGTTGTGTTGCTCTGAAGGGTTGTGAGGTAATCCTCGACCTACAGAGGCTTAGTGGCTGTGTCACAGAGCTCCAGGAAGCATCGGCAGGCAGCCGCCATCAGTGGAA